GGGAAGGCAGGAGAGGGAGGGAGTAGACACGGCCTTGAGCAGGATGGTCCATCGTGACCAATGAAAAAGAAGAAAAAAAAAAGGAAAATCTGCAAGCCTGTGTGCGAGCCAGAGAGAGAGAGAGAGTCTATTGCCGTCTTTGTCTGTGTGTGTGTGTGTTAGAGAGAGAGAGAGAGAGAGAGAGAGAGAGAGAGAGTCCATCAACTTCTTGGCAAACATTTCATTTTTATTGCGGGCGTAGCCGCAACAGGTCCCCTAGTGGTAGTGATGGGCCCACTGCATATGGTCTATTTGTTGGAGTTTTATGGAAGCTCTGCACCCGAAACAGAGGTAGGGGTGGTCTATTATTACAGGTTCTTATAGGTTTGGTGTAGTATATCTTGCCGCTTAGATATGCACATGCGTATCTGGGCGCTTGCAGTAAGCTAAAGTTGCGGCGTGGACAATGGATTGCTTCATCCGAGCAAGCTGAGAATCTTTGCACCCATAAACCTATTGATGCATTTATTCTGTACTACACAACAAAGGTTAGCTGAGAATGGCATCCTTGAATTGTAGTCCTGCGTGCCTGTATCGATGTATTTTGTATAGCAGAGCAAGTGTTGTTCCCGAGGGTTACGTTTTTGTCTGGTGCGGTTCACATTTGAATGACTGTGGCAAACTTATTGGCAGGTATCCACAGAGCATGTTTCGATCTTTTATCAAATGGCTCTCTCCTCAAGATGTTATGCAAGGTTCAAGCTCTGGCGGCGAACCGATTTGCAGGACTGTTCCTTTTAGAGAAGAGAAAATGCCTCTTCTCCCTTTTGCGTGCTTTCCTAAGCATTCGCTGGACAGGTTGAGGCTCGCTGCCAAATTCCCTGTACCTGGTCTATGTGCCGGTGCATGGTGACCTTGTGCATGCCCATTAGATCATGAGATTACCCAAATAATTTCCTCAAATGTGTGGGGAATCTAAAAAATTGTAGGGCTGCCACGACCTCCTCACACTTTCTGCTGTGCTTCTCCATCTTCCGTCACGGCGGGCATTCTTCGATCATGTAGTACGTCAAATCCTCTGCTAGTGAGGCCAGTATGGTTATAATTGGCCTGTGCTAATTTGCAGGTCACATTATCATATTTGGTTGTCTTGTTCATTAATGGGTCGCTATGGGCTGAGGGGTGAACCTGCCAGCAGTTTCGGTAGTAGATATAACTGTCGATAAACAGATCACGAGTTCCAAGGCCAGTTGGATACAACAACGTCAGGGGCTAAGACCCCACTGCCCAGGCTATTCAGGACGGGTGAACTGCACAGGTAGGCATTTGCCAACATGTGAGTATAAATTCGATCTTAAACTGAGCAGCCCTACCTGGGCCTGTGAACTGCTCACAGGGGGGTAAGGAAGAAAATTAAGGCTTTTTCTCATATCCTGATATCCAATGGTTGCCAACCAGCTGGTCAGGACATTCGGTACTGTTTCTGGTAGCCAGATGTCGCCTATTGGATGTCTGGCCAATGAGTTAATGCTGGTTGAGAGCTGTGACTGCTGGTTAAATCTCATATAGCCTGTTAACTACGTACCTTGGGTTAACATGGGCAGGCTAGCACACGTTAGCACAGGTTAATACAGATGAACACGTGTTAAGACATTTGGACGCAGATTAACAGAGGTTAACACAGTTTCATAGAGTTTCACACACTTCAACACAGGTTTGCACAGGTTGACACAGGTTGACACTGTTTGACACATGTTTCACGGTTTATCACAGGTCAACACAGGCTGAGCTGTTGACACTGTCGTGGACTGGTTGAACTCCGAAATGTTGCTGTATAATGTATTCGGTGTTCCTATGGCTATGATGGGTAGGTTGACGAATTGGCTCGCAATTTGTTGACAATGGTGGGCGTTGGTGATTGCTGTCTTTCCCTCATCTCTATTGTTTTGTCCAACTTGCATGCAGGATCACCTCTTCCGAAGCCAAAACCAACACGACCGCTGCCTATTCAGGCTACAGCTTACACGCTGGAGGAAATCAGGCAGTTCACCAACAACTTTGAGCTGAAGCTTGGTGAGGGATCATATGGGCGTGTGTTTCTTGGGACTCTTCATAATGGGAGAAAGACGGCAGTCAAGCAATTGGATGCAAGCTCACAGTCAGATTCCGATCTGCTCGCTCAAATCAGCATTATCAGCAGACTTAAGCATGACAATGTGATCGAGATGCTGGGCTATTGTGTTCAAGGTTCACATCGGTACTTATCATTTGAATACGCTCCCAAGGGAAGTCTGTATGACATGTTGCATGGTAAGAGTGCTTTGGCTGTCTTGCTTCTTTCCTCTCTCCCTCCCTATGTCCTTCCCTCCTTCCCTCAGTTCCTAATTCCTCCCCCCCTCCCCCCCTCCGTCCCTCTTTTCCTCCCTACCTCCCGCTCTTCCTCTTCCCTCCTCCCATCCTTGCCTCCTTCCGCTCCCCCCTCTCTCTTTTTTCTTTCTTGTCCTTCCACCCTTCCCTCACCCTTATCATTCCTCCTTTGTTTTCTTCCTTCAGCCGTGAAGGCGAAAGAGCCTGCTGAACCAGGTCCAGAAGGTTCGGGACCATGGACAGGTCACCCAGAGGTGCTGGCCATCTTCTATGATAAAACCAGTTGGAACATGTGCGCTTCGGACAGGAATAACCTAGGCAGTGGGTACCACAGGATGGGCCTTTAGCCAGAAAACACCTGCATACAACAAGCATGCTTCAACAGATTGTTTCTCTCTGAGGTAGGGCATAATCACATAGGGCCTTCTCACACGAGCCAACTTACTGAGCGACTGCCTGAATGTCACCATTTACACCTAAGTCCTTTGGACCCTGTTCAAAGCATAAGATACAACTGAGTATAGGAAGCACACTGAAGAAATCATTGGTAGAGAAATCTCAAACATCTTTGTCCAAGGCCTGACAAAACTAAGAACGTCATCAAATGCACAAGTCGGCTCAGGAAAAGACTCAGATTTGTCAGACTGAGAACTGTATTGGACAATGGGGCTTTTTTATTCAACTCCTGTTGACTCATGCATTTTTGCAGGGTCAAAATCCCTGTCGTTGAGCTAATACAGCATTTGAACATTTTCAGTCTGCAGTCAACTGGCGGTCACCCCCAGGGTTGTCAGACCGCCTACGGCTGACACCTATGGTAGGCCGTTGGATCGCCTACCAGTTGTGCCGACCCGTAGGCTGACTGGTCGGCAGTTTGTAAAGGGCCATCCACTTTTCTTTTTTCAAATCTGAGTTCAGGGCTGCTGCGCTTGCTGAGTACAGCCCAAATTTGCTGGGAAACTTTTGGGGATTGGGGAGGGGGGGTACAGGGGGTTATGAGGGAGGTATAGGGGGGTAATAGGGGGGTTGTAGGGGGTTAAGGAGGGGGGTACGAGGGTGTTAGGGGATGGTATGGGGGTGTTGGGGGGGTGTATGGGGGGGGCTATGGGGTTATTCGAGACTCTGGACCCTCTTTTTTTTGTGGGGTGCCAACCAACCCCTGACCGGTAGTGACAACCAGTCCTACGTTCGGCTGGTCTGCCCCTGACAACCAATCCCTGACCGGTAGTGCCAATGAGTCCTACGTTCGGCTGGTCGGCCCCTGACCAATCCAGGGGTGCCGACTGTCAGCGTGACTACTTTGGTCTGGGTTTGTTGGCTGGATGGCTCGAGGCCAGGAAAAGCCCAGAAGAAATGGGATTAGATCCAGCACAACCTAGTGCATGCCAGAATGACTTGGTAACCCAGGGCAACGATGTGCTGCAGCCAATGTCGAATTTCAAATGTTCATCCTGCATCGATGTCCAGTGATAGGTTTCAGAAACCGGCCCGAGTTGGGTCCTAATCTGAATTTTGTATATCCGATGGCCACGATTAACGCCCAGATGTCCAGGCGTGTTGAAACGTTCAAAATGTTGTCGTTGTTTGGGGAGGAGTTTGGGGCGCTGTGGGGCCAGCATGGGTAAGATACTAAGACTGTTTGTGTGAGTGCAGACAGAGTAACCACACTATTTGTTAAGGACCCTTTGATTCCTTTCAACTGCTAACCAGTCGGTGTTCTCAGGAACAAGGTGAGATCTTGGCTCTTTGTTTTGTGTGTAGTGTAGCCAGGGGTACCGGCCTGCAGGCTTTCTCGTCAATTACTCCTTTGACCAGGTAAGTTGAGATCAAGGTGAAGCGATTTGGACAAACGAAAACTCAATTGGACAATCATCAAACCGAATTGGTCAGTTCGATTTTCCTATTTAGTACATGATCGGAACGGATTTGGACAGCCAATATAGGTTGGGAGAAGTGACGAGCGTTTTGGACGTATCAGATTTAGGTTGGGAGAAACGATGAGCATTTTGGACATACTGGATATAGGTTGGGATAAATGATTACCATTTTGGACAGATCGATTTAACAGTTTGGACGCATGACAGAGTTAGCCAGATTGATTTAACAAATTAGTATTACGAAAACCACATTTAGTTCAACAGTCCACCGATTTGAGATTCTGCGCACACCATCGGGACCAACAAAGATATCAATTTAGTGAAGCTATTTTGCATGTTAGTCACATGCGTCTGAATCACGGGCCTGCCGCTCCCGTAAACTGTCGACCTAGAACTTCGCCTCGATTAGCTTTGCTGAAGTTTCGCGTCACCTCTCTAATCCATCCTTGGCACATCTCGGCAGTGATCCGCAAAAGACCCCGGTTGATTGCATCAATCAGATTCCCCTGCCCCCCAAGTTCCTCATGACAAACACGGGTCTTGACATTGCCAAAGACCCATTCTGCTGCATTCACGAAAGGGGAGTATGGAGGAAGGTAAAGACAAGTGTGCCCAGCTTCCTCTATTGCCCTCTGCACATCCCCACTACGATGAAATGGAACATTGTCCAAGAAATGGAAGTATGGAGGAAGGTAAAGACAAGTGTGCCCAGCTTCCTCTATCGCCCTCTGCACATCCCCACTACGATGAAATGGAACACTGTCCATGATGATCATGTTGGGTTGGTCCAAGGCAGGTAGGAGTTTCTTCTCTATGAAATTTACGTTGATGGATGCACACAGCACACTCGAGAGTGCATGCACGTGGGTAGCAGTTCCTAGGTGGATGTGCGGAGGACACACGTGAGCAACACACGATTTTCTGTGGGGCCCACCAATTTATGCGCTCGTCAGTCTAAATTGTTCGGTCCTTCAACGAAGGGCAGTGGGTCTGTCCAAGTTTCTAGAATACCTGTCCATATCGGTTCACAAGATGTCCTGTTCTGAACTACCGGTCCAAGAAGCTTCTACAAGAATCTACAACGCTTGGACTAATGGCGGATTCCAATCTACCGGTCCAAGAAGCTTCTTCGAAACTCCAAATCGGTTCGCCGTTCTCCAACTTCGACGCGTTCACCTAATTTGATAAAAAAAAACATCCAATTCCAATCTGCCGGTCCAAGAAGCTTCTTCGAAATTCCAAATCGGTTCGCCGTTGCTCTAACTTCGACGCGTTCACCTAATTTGATTTAAAAAAATCCAATACGGTATTGTTTTTGGCGAGAACCTGGTAGGGCCTGCCCATCTCGGCTCACTATATATCCAAATAGCGGCAGTATGCATCTAACTTAGCTGGTCAAAGGAGTATATTGCAATCCTGCGGGGAGCTCCTGAACCGAAATGATTCCAAGGGAGATCTGCCAACGAAATGGCTGTGTATCTTTCCATGTTCCAGCAGAAGATTCATTCCCATTTTGCACATTTGGTGAGTGAGTAACGGATCTAGTCCCAATGTAGTGAGTAGTGTTAAAAAAAAGACACACAGAAACAACGCACTGAGCAGTGCAGTGTGGCCCAATGGAACTACAAGATGAGTGGTGGAGTGCGGCTCAATGGAAGTACAAGATGAATAGTGGAGCGCGGCCCAACAAACACAATGAACCCCTGCAAATCGTGGGGGTAAATCTTTCACTAGAACGCGGAAAGATACACCCCCATTTTGGCAACCATATCGTGATATGGCACAAAAGACAAAAGTAATGGAGGTGTATCTTTCCATATTCCAGCAAAAGATTCAGTCCCATTTTGTTTATTTGGTGGGTGAGTAATGGAGTTCACAAGGCAAGTCATATACTCGGGGTGGCGAGAAATGCCAATCTCATGGAACCAGCGAGTCAATGTAGGGGACAAGGTGGTTAGTTCCTTGATCCACCTCAAAGTATCATGATCTGAGAAGACTTTGAAGTGGTGTCCCAAAAAATAGTGTTTCCAGTGATCCAAAGCCATGCACAAGGCAATGAGCTCACGCGTGTAGGTGGAAGTAGCTACCTTTTCGCTGGGCATGCGTTTGCTGTAGTACTCGAGCGGTCGCAAGCCATCATCGTCATCTTGTTGCAGCAATGCACCAATCCCATAATGGCTCGCATTTGCAGTGACTAAGAATGTGAGTTTGGAATCTGCAATGCGGAGTACATGGTAACGTATGAAGGCCTCTGTCAAGGTTGGAAACGTGACCTTACAGGTTGCATCCCATGTGTAAGATACATTCTTACTTGTTAATGGGCGAGCAAGTACAGAGAATCGGGGCACAAACTTCCGATAGTATGATGCAAGACCAAGGAAAGAACGCAATTCGCGGATGTTCGCGGGTTGAGGCCAATCATGCATGACCTCAACCTTGGTTGCCTCAGGCTTGAGGCCCGCAGCAGACAACCGATGCCTAAGATAAATGACGCTGTCCCTCCCAAACTCAGATTTTTCCAAGTTGAGATGAAGTTGTGTTTTCTTGGGGATGATGTTGAGATGAAGTTGCATTTTCTTGGGGATGGTGAACACTTCATCAAGGTCGTTCGTATGTTCCTCGATGGACTTGCTAAAAATCACTATGTCATCGAGGTACACAACTACAAGCCGACCAATCTGTTCGCGGAGGACTTTGTCTATAAGACTTTAGAAGGTGGCCGGTGCGTTTGTGAGACCGAAGGGCATTATGGTGAATTTGTAAAGCCCATCGCGTGCCTTGAATGCAGTCTTGTGCTGGTCTACAAGATCGACTTCAATTTGGTCATATCTAGGTTTGAGGTCAATCTTGGAGAAGACCTTGCACCCACCAGCAACATCAGGCAAATCATCTATGCATGACAATGGGTATGCATTCTTTCTCGTAATGCGGTTTAGACCGCGGTAATCAACACACATGCGGAGTTTGCCTCCTTTCTTTGGGACAAACAAATAGGTGCACGAAATTCAGATTCGCTAGGCTTAATCCATCCCTTGTCGATCATCTCATCGATTTTTTTTTGGAGTT